CAGACCAGTCGCGTGATAAACAGCATTTGTAGGCAGTGCTGGTCTATCAGACTCGTGCTCGGACTGGAGTCAGGAGTTTGCAAGTACTTAAGTGCCTCTTCCTCTGAACTTAGAGACATCTGTGAGTTGAGGTGCGGGCAGATGCAAGCACCTATTACTCTACTCCTGGCTGGCCAGATGGAAGTGCCATCTCAGTGCAGCACTGCCTAGGCTCTGCACCTCAGCAGAGGTTTTCAGGTGGTTATGGAGGCCATCAGGAGGTTGCCAAAGCAAAGCCTTGTAGGAGATCCAAGGGATGATCTGTAAGCCTGAGAGCTGGGGCTGGATTTAATTTTGAGCCAGTGCTGCCCTCTGCTGAAAGGAATGCTCTTCTGGTAAAGTCAAATATTCATGCTTTTTGTTACCTGAAATTAAGCAAGCAACTGAATAAATTTCTTCTGCAAAAAGGTAGCATATGTACTGTTTAGATGATTTAGCTGAAATCTATGCTTTCGCTAAATAACATCAGCTTTCCTGTTTGTCAAACCCAGACCATGCATAGTTGGGTGGGTGAGGATTTGCCAGCTAGGACAACCACAGCTTCCTCAGGGCCTGGTGAAGGAAACTTGGAAGAGAAATGTAAACAGGTAGACTAAAACCTGTGTGCACTAATCACATTAATCGTGTTTGCAGTCTCAACTCAACTGTTTAGCTGTGTGAGGAGACCTTGACTGGGAGCCTGAAAAAAGTGTGTCTGTCTGAAGTAATTTTTGGTTTTGCTGTGCTTTTCTGTTAACTCTCTTGTTGTAGTCCCTCATAAGCAATCAGGGTATGAGGCCCTCTCTTTTGTGGGGCTGCCAGTGTCGTGAGCCCATCGCCAACAGAAGTTTGAGTAGCTTGAAAACTGCTTTCCTGTAGCTCAGGTAACCAGCTGCTTATTCTGCTTGGTCTATTGGACCAGCAACCGCAGCAATCATAAGGCACTTGTATTAAGCTGACCACATTTCCTTTCTAAAATCAGTGGATTTTTTCCAGTTAGCGTTGATTGTTTTGCTTAATGAGCCCAAACCATGTCAAAGATACTTTATTATAATTCAACCAAGTTGCAGATAATTTTGATAAATCTGGCCAACACCCACTGCTGAAGTGAAAACAAAAAATAAAAGTTCGTAAAACGTTTGTGTCCCTTTAGCAGCTGACACTTTTTGGACAGCATGAATTGCCTTGACCTAAGTGTGAAACTTTGGGAGCTGCTACTGGCTTGTGGAACCTGATCTCTCGCTGCATTGTTATAAGGAAAATAATAGAAGTTACATAAGCAATCCTTTGCAAATGATTCAAGAACCTGACGTGGAGCCAGACCCCGTACTAGTCAGGCTCTGAAGTCACTGGAGTTTCTCCAGCTCAAGCCAGCAGAGAACTGCTTCATTAAGATCAGATAATCTGTAGGGGCTACGTTATATGTCACTGAAAGGAGATGGATTAGTGTTCCACGCTAATGGTGCAGAGACACAAAGGCAAGGGAAAATTCAGATATTGCTCTGTCTTCAAGCTATATATCGTCAAGCATGAGTGTTGCATGGAAAATGTTTGTACATTGTGTACAGAAATAAGTTTTTTTTATTGCTTGTTTTAGATTTATCTACTCCTTGAGTACTCTAATGAAACAAAGGCCAAGATTTTCAAAAACGAGCAGTGATTCTGAGATAATGAAAATGTCCTCTGGCTTGTCACAAGCTGAAAATCCACAGATTAAAACTCTTAGAAACGTTATCTGTAAAAGATGTCCTTTGAGTGGATAAATACATGCTAGATAAATGAAACTTAGAGGATTATCAAGAGTGTCCAGATCTAACTATTAAGACAGTTGTAGAAAAGCTGCTCCTGATACTCTTCATTACTGAAATAAAATTAGCTGTATTAGAACTGGGAAGTATTGCAAGATGAAACTTGCAGCATGTTATGAATAGGATTTCAAGCTAGCATGGACATTCCAGCTTTTGAGGTCAGTGGTAAAAGTGTTCTTGATTTTTATGGTAGCAGGGACCAAGACCTTTGTGTGTTAAATGTAAAGTAGGAAATCATGGCTAATGGCTTTTGCCTGAAAGAAACCTAGAAGTGCAGTTGAACTGCTGAGGACTATTTAGAAGGAACACAACCAAGATTAACCCGCGTAACTCCAGTGTTGCTTGGAGAGCTTTGCTGGAGCACCACTCCCAGGCTCTAGTAGTACTTTGCTTTATTTCAGAAAATGTAGACTATAGGCCTTCTTTCTTTCAGGCCACATAAGATTGTAAGCATTGTGAGTGACTGTTCAGCACTTCATTCAAAGCCTAATGACCTATTTGCAAGAAACAGCAACAAAATCGAAGTGATTTCTGGAAGCTGAAACTTCCCTCAGATACTTCTGTAGCACAACATCTGGGTGCTATTAGTGTTTGTGTGTTAGGGTTAAACTGTACCAGTTAGCTAACGTTGTGCTTCAAAGTTGAAGCCACAGGATCATAAAGTGCTTGGTGGGGCTTTGGTGAAGATTTTTCTTGGACCTGAGAGATGCACCTTAGACCTGTCTGGCACACAAGAAAGGTACCTCCAGAATGTCACGTTGTAGGGTGTGTGTGCTCTTGCGCCTGTTTTGCTCTATTTACTTAGGAGGTCTCCAAGGATGACCTTATTTCTAACCCATCAGTGGGAGATCTGTGGGACAAAGGTATCTGAAACCCTTTCTTGCCTCACTGTACCTTGGGCAGCTTCTGATTTACCAGTTGATGTCTCCAGATATTCCAGCCTCTGAGCAATCTCTCAACCTGGGAACCTTGCTGGTCAATTTTCCTGTGTTGAGTGTTTTTGTGGGGTTTTTTTGGTGGTGTTTTTGTTTTTATAATCTCAATGAATATGAGATCTGCTTGTTCTGACATGGAAGATCTGCATGTCCACTTCCTAACCATCCAGGATATGCATGCCATTCACAGACGGGAATGTACTTTGGCATGACTTGTCACTTTGCGTTTGATTCAAGATGCTGTTTGTTGTTCTGAGTTCTCTTGTTTGCAGTAATGTTTTTATTCCAGAAAATACTATGCTGGTGAAAACTTTAAAGTTCTTGGATCAAAATGGACAGAAATACACGTCCTTGTTGGATACCAGGCAGGCTTCATGCAGAGTTGCCCAAAACTTCAGGTCAGAGGAGGGCAGAATGTGGAGTTAAGAAAGCCCCGGGGAAAATTATCTCCCTACCTCTTTCATCCTTAGATCTTTTAGTGTGAAGTGAATAATGACATGCTGTGTTTCTGTTCAAGTCAGTGAGAGTTTTGGCAGGAGGCACCGTGATCCATCTGGAATGAAGAGTCTGAAGATCTCTTGTTCGCTGCAGTCCTTGGAAGCCCGTTGAGTGTTGTGTGCCTCAGTTTCTTTGTTGGCCATATGAAAAAGATGTTACTTATCAAACTTTCATGGATGGAAAATGTTTTTCTATACAAAGCTGTGTTACTGCAAATTGGGGCTGATGAGCAGAAGGAACAGTATGGCTTGAATTGCAATTTGCACAGTGAAACAAAGAGATACTTTGATTCCCTCCACTATGAAAGGGTTTTTGTGTACCGAAGTTCATCATCTGCTAAAGGATTCCACTTCACAGGAAAGTGCAGATACACTTAATTATTGCAAATTTACAAACACAATATGAAAAACTCTGTCTTTGAATTGATGAGAACAATGAACGTACAGTTATCGCCACAGCAGTGAATTATATTTTTACCCCTTTAAAGTATCTTTTTTTCATATTTAGGAAGTTTTAGAAAGTTCCTGAAAGGGTCAGACACAAGTGTCTGCTTTTCCTAAATCTGTATGGGTGCTGTTCCAAAATAAGAGCATGTGCAGCTTTGCTTCTTACTTTGTGAGCTGAAGCCACTGCTTTGTATCCAGATGTGTATTCATGAGGTTGGCATGTTGTTGGCTACACCCCTGTTGGAGAAGGTGGTGCTGCAGGCCATCAGAGGTCCTTCATCACTGCTTCATTTTGTTCTTTTAATCAATTTTCAGATTTGTACATATTTTCAAGGCAAAGGCGGGGGTAAAAGCAGAATTGGTACAATCCACGTGGGTTTTATGCTGCTGGTGGAGTCTAGTCAGGAATATGTAATGTCAGGTACTCTTGCAGATCTCCACTCTGATTTGTTCTGCTTCCATTCCCATTTGATTCCATTGTCTTAGTTCAGGACAGGCAAAGCAGTATATTTGCTAAAGTAGTTAGTGGAGATCCTGTTCTGGCAGCTATTTTTCCAGGCAGATAGGGCAGACCCTGTCTGGTGAAAGTAATGGTAAAATTCTTAATGGTTTCAGTGGTACCCTTGTTTCACATATTAAATTTAGGCAATCTGGTGGGATTCAGCATGTCCATGGATGAGCAAAAGGTGGTTCTCACCATCACAGTAGGTCTTCCTCTTGAGATGGAGTCTTCTGTTGCTGAAACAGCCTCTGTGGTGAGACTTGCAAGGAGAGGTGGGAAAACAGAAGCGGGGATTGTGTGTTTGATGAAAGAAACTTGTCAGATCTTTAGGAAGAGGAGAAGGTTGGGTGGGAAGAGACATAGTTCCCATTCTCCCTTAAAATAGCAAGTATGGGAATGTCAAATTGCAGTCCTAGATTCTTCGTACTTATCTGAGCTTCTGGTTTTATTTGTTTCCTGTAAACTTTTGCAATAACTTGTTCAACTGAAGTATGTGCTGGACAGGGCAATGGTAAGATTGTCTCACTAGTGGTGAATAGCTGTACACTTCATATCTGAGAAGGTAATGATATAAACGCAAAAGTGTATTGTAAGCTCTAAGAACTAAAAAGTTAACTATAGCAGTTAGCAACTGCTTATGGCACATCAGAAGGAATATGTCAAAAATTTGTTTGGTGTGGGAGTTGTCTTTTTGAGTGAAACACACATCGTTTACCGTAAGGATCATTATCAACAGAGTGCATGCTCTTTACAAAGAATAAAAACTGATGGTCTTTTCTTTCTTTCTTTTCAGGCAGCACAGATAGTCCTGATTTCTCTCTTTGAACTGAACACTCCTGAGTTTACCATGTTACTTGGTGCCTTGCCAAAAACATTCCAGGATGGTGCTACCAAGCTCCTGCACAACCACCTCAAGAACTCCAGTAACACCAGTGTGGTGAGAGGCCCTTGTCCTTGAAAACAGCAGAGCCCCAAAGGCAGCAGCTCATTGATAAGCTGTTGCAGATGTTCAGTACCATGAATTATCTGTAACTGTTGTCTTGAAGTATATGACAACAGAGGCTTTGGTTTGATATTGACTTTATAGGGACCATTAAAACAAAAACTCAGTTATTTTTAAATTTAATACTTTAATACAGCCATAACCAGTACAGATTAAAAAAAAAACCTACTGAGAATTGCATGAAATTTGGTGGGGTTTGTGCTTTCAAGCTGGTGATGCTTTTGATAATCCTGCCAGTAACAACCTTTTGGCTAAAACGGAGATCCTGATACCATGGACTGACTTACTGGGCTTACCACTACTATTGAAATCAGTTTAATAACAGATAGATTGTCTACTAAGAAGCTTACAGGATCTTTAATGTGACCTACAAGGTCTCCTCAGTCTGCACCTATTACCTTCTGTTTTGCTTTTACATGAAGCTCTTCCATATTTCTGTATCTCTGAAGGAATACGTTAGTAGAGGATTTAAGTGTGCTTCTAAACTTCTTTTCCCCCCAGAGCACCAAGGATTAGGGTCTCTTTTGCCTTTTTAATGTGGAAATCTTGTGAAACTTGCTGGAATTTGAACCCTCATATCTTTGCACTTCTGCAGGGACAAGCAGACCTTTTTGTAAGCTAGAACTGGAGCATTAGGCTTCCAGGCAACTGGACTGGATTCTCTAGTGCCTTGACTTTGTGTGAAGACAGTCTGAATTGGGAGCAATTTCTGCTCGTTTTGCTGGGGTACAAATGATTGTGTAGGCCAGTGGAAAAATGATAAGTTAGATTGCTTGCTTATGCTCTTAAGCACAATCAGAATACTTTAGACAATGTGGAAAATAGCTGCATAATTAAATTGTTAAATTGCTAGGGTAATGGTCTGCATACTTTGGAGCCTGGCAAATCATGTCTGAGAAGCTGGGTAGCCTGGTGGGTTGTTAAACCATTCCTCTGGCAGTATTTGCAGACTGTTGCATAGTTAAAATTACAGGCACTGTGGATTGTAGAAAAGTGTGTGTGTGCTTTCTTTATCCTCAGAGCAGTACCTTCAAGAATGTGTTCATGACTACGTGAACCATGGCTGTAGTTTTCTAGGTCAAGAACCAGAACCAAAACTGCTCTAAGCTTGTGTAGCGCAAACAAAGGCAGTATTTGGACCTGTTGTTGTCGCGTGCTTCTGCCTGTGCGTTGCAACACGTTGCTAATCCCTGTCTTCCCACTTCTGTGCCAGGGTTCCCCCAGCAATACCCTTGGTCGGACTCCTTCCCGGCACTCCAGCAGCAGAACCAGCCCCTTAACTTCACCTACCAACTGTTCCCATGGTGGACTGTCTCCAAGGTAATGTGGCAGGCTAATTAAACCACTTGCAAAATATGAAAGGATTTCAACACTGAGTGTGCTTTTGCAGAATATGACTCACTTTGAAATGAAAAACAAGACCAGAAGTTTACAGTGGATTGCTCCGAAGAAACAGGGTTTGAACATGATAATATGTGGTTGGTGATTGACTTCAGTGTTCCAGTTCTCATGCTATCTATGTAACCTTAATGTCTTTTCTTATAATCCTGATTATTTTTTCATAACTAGGCCTTCTCCAGAATCACATTTGTGGGTTCAGTGAAGGTAGTATTAAAAGGCAACATTAGAAATGAGATTTTGTTGAGGTTGCAAATATCACAAAGTATGTGATGACTTTCAGGGCAAGGGTTTCAGACTGTGTCTATTTTTAGGTGTGTCCTTGGGATCAGTACTTCATCTGACTGTAGTACAGTGCTTGTGCTGCTGAGAGAAGTACGGAATCTCCTGTTCCCCTCTTATGCTTTATGAAGATGCAGACCAAGTAGAGGTGGTGACTGTGTTTTAATGCTGAATACCTCTCAAGTAGCTCTCCTTGCTGGTCACTAGCTGAATAATGGTCTGATCCTTTGGGCAGCAGGTCTGTTGGAACCAGGTGTTTTGCTGAAGCTGCAGATGCTACGCTAGAATATATTGGTCCACTCAAAAACCTTTAATTGAGCAGACATGGACTCTTGGATATTGGGAATGTACATGTTTCGCACCAGAAAAACTTAGAGCAGAAGAGACAGGAATTTAAACAGTATGCTCTGGAACTGTAGAAATACTGGAGGAAAGTATTAGATTGTTACCTGGACAAGCTTTGATTCATGCTGGGAAAGCTTAAAAGCTGCTGCTCTTATCTGCCTGCCCTCTCCATGGGAGGTCACTTTCTCTTGTCATGGAAGAGACAGAAGGAGACACATTGGGTGAGGACTGTAGTTCATAGTCCGGTGTAGTAACTTACACTGAAATCTGTTGATCAGCCCTGACATGACTTGCTAAACCCTCTCTGGAGGGATGCTTAGGCACGTGAGTTCCCATGTGTCAGGAAAAACATGGGCTTTTAGCCTTCAATGAGTAGTTATACTAATTCCAGCAGCATATGAGGAGCACATGGGATTTCCTGAGAAAATTTTGGATATCTAAATACGTCTTTGACCCCTAAATCTGCTGTAATCCAAAAATATACTGAGAGGTTGCAAGCTAAGGTCGAGTTGCCTATTACGAGTTTTTTCAACAAAGGTTTCATTAAGAAATTAAGTGGTAGAGTTTCAGGGGAGTGGTTCCAACTAAGTTGCTTCTTTTTTGACTAGTTTGAGCATTTTTGCCCTGCTGATTACTGTCATGGGAAATTATAAACTGAGAGATGTCTCCCCATGGTTATATTGTGGCTTTGCTGGCCACTTTTGCATGTGGCACTTATTTTATAAATCCATGACCTTTTACCATGCTTTTTGGGTTTTGCCATTGGGACACAACCGTGTTTTGCCACTTCACTCACTGCTTTTCAGTTTGTCTTTGCATTCTTCTCACCTCTTGATGTCAGGATGCACGTGTCAAAATATTGGTTAAAGCATTCAGTATACACTTAATACTTTGTTGTTGCTGTTGTTTTCTAGCATTTTGGGTTTAGGAACTGGAGGGTTTTTTCCCATGTGATATGTTCTCAAGGAATAGTTAGAGAGGGCATATAATTCCAGAGCATTCTGCCATGAAGTTGTCAAGACCAAAACTGCCACTGCGGCAGTGGGCCAGGAATTTCCTTTAGAAAACAATCGTTCCTTCAGTTTTCTAAGGAGTTCTTGAAGATGTTGATCCAACACTTTAGGTGTCTTTTCAGGAAGAGTGTCCTGCTTCCTTGCTGGATTTAGCTATTCAAGAGTGACATGTGAAAATTCGTCATTGGTGATAGGTGAAGGTGGAAGCTGCTGTAAAAGCCCTTTAAAATATTCAGGGGAGAGGTTCTACCTTTTTTTCGTGAGTGATCTTGGGGCAGTAACAGTAGCTGCTGATTTTTATCGTTTGCAGAAAAGGCGGTAGCAAGTACTGCAAATCAGTGGCAGTAGCTTCTGATACTGTGATGGACTGCATCCTTCTTGAAAATGTCTTTTGTAGCACAGTTTGAGCATGGTCCTGACTTACAGAATAAGAGAGAGTTTAGCTGTTTCTGAAGAGTACATGTGGTTGTCCTTCATTCAGAAAAGAGGCTTTGGAAGATGTGCTAACAGATGACAGGGAGTAAGGTACGCTGTAATATTGCAGTTGTTGGTACAGATGCTTCTGTGTCACGTTGCCAGTACACATGCTGGTCACTTGCTATTCATAAGTGGTGTAGAATGTCGGTTTTCTCTCTGCAGACTTGGATCGTGAGCACACCCAAGTCATTCTGATGGCAGTGTAAAAGGATAAAGACTCCTACAGTTTCTTTACGTAGCCCTCCACTGAAACTAGGCTAGGCTTTACATTTTTTTATGGGGCCCATTGTCCAAGGGTTGTACCGAGGTTGCGTATGCCCGTGGCTTCCCAGCGTGCTCCATGTTCAGGCCCTGCCTACCTTCTCCATGCCTGTGCCTTGTACAGACAGCCTGAGTGCAGTCAGCTGAAGGATTATCTCCAGTTCTTAATGCCAGCTTTGGTTCTGAAGATCATACTTTCCTTGAATGTTTTTTTGATGCACAGATTGGAGGAGTCGTATCTAGAGTCATATATGTCTTTGGGACTGGGATATGTGTGGAAAGGATAGTTTGGGTCCTGTAGGAATATAAAAATTATGCTAAGCATACCTGCTTTCCCATATTACTAATGGTTTATGGACAATATCCTCAATATTAATCAGCAAGGCTTCATTCATGCTGACTTTTTATAGTATGTATATGCCATTGCCCTTAGGTCACATTACTTCTCCCATATTATTGCCATTACAAGTGAAATCCAGATGACTGATCTTTTATTTTGTGTGTGGGGGGGTGTGTGCATGTATTTGAGCTCAAATTTTGTATGTTTTGGTTGAACTGGACTTTGTTGATGCAAACAGCGAATTTGCCTATCCAGATGATAACAGCTGTGTAAGTATCCCCTCATGTTAGTGTCTTCAGAAGGATAACTTTCAGAAGGTGCTTTCAGGGCCTTGGGCTGAGTCCTTCCTGCTGCTGCTTTTATTTGTTCCGTCCAGTTCTGCTTCATAATCACATGCACGTATCCGCTGCATCTGTGAGTTACTTCTGCATTTGTATCTGCTTTTTTTTGTCTTGACAGTTTTAGGTTTTGGGTGACAGTTCTAGGTTTTGGGGAGAGGAGTTACAGAGAAAAGAGATGTTTTCTGAAGAGGAGGAGTGGGGGCGAGCACTTGGAAGACTGAAAATGATAGGAAAAACATCAGATTTGAGTGAGAGGAAAGAATGTTTTCTGGGCAATGCTCAGATGAATGGCTTGAGTTTGTGTTGGACAGAGAAAATATTCTGATATTTAGTAAGTGATGTAGTATGACACAAAGGAAAATACTAAGTGGTGAAATCCTGCAGCATAGGAATACCATTCTGAATGGCAAGTGGACTTCTGTAAACTCAAATGTTATGTTCAGGTTCTGATTTTTTGCCTGGAATTCTGTAGGAATATTTGAAGGACTATAAAATGAATAAGCTTGCCTTACTGCTGCTGCTTTGATTAGTAGTCCAGAAACCTGTGTATAGTTCCAATTATTAAAAAACCAAATTTAGTCCTTCAAAGATCTGTAGAGGAAATGCATCAAAATAAAAGGCTAACAATTGTATTTGGCTGTGTAAGCTTACGTGCTTGTTTTTTTGCTGACAGTAGAAAATACCATTAAAAATAAGATATGACCATTTCAGTATTGAGCAAGACAGGGCATGGAAAAAGAACTAAAATAAGCCACCTACCTTATACAATTGCTTGGTGTGGCCCATTTGCAGGTAGGTGAGACGTGAGCTGCGAGACTTCTGATCAGCAGTCTGGGTGTCTGGTGCATTTCCGTAATAGTTGCATGCAATAGCTATGGTTTTTGATTGCTGGTTAACGAGTTAATTTCTTGACACCACTCTTCAGAGGAATTTTCAACTGGCTTTGCTGCTGTTTGCACTGGAGCAATTCTTGAGTTGTTTGCCACATCTGATCTTGCAGTATCTTTCACTTGTCTATACACAAATGTGACTTTCCGAGGCAGTGAACTTAATAGAAACAAAGTGGTGTCCTGAATACTCCACCAGCTCAAGCATCAATATTCTCATTTAGAAGATGACTTTGAAAATCCATATACCAGAAAGGGAACAGGACAAAAGCAAAGTTTAGACAAATTGACATAGGGGTGGGTGCTTTGACCCAAAGGCATAGGACCAAACAGTAACCAGAAGGAGCTTGGGGAAGTTTGAGACCTGAATTGGCTTAGAGGCTGGTTTCATCCAGTCTTTCCAGGTTTGTCTGCTGAGACCTGGGTCAAGTCCCCAGTTTACATGATACATTTACACTCTAGACTGACTTTCACTTGCTGCGTATTTGGGATTAGTTTGAAGCTGGTGAAGTAGGATCAGATCTTAAGGCCTGCAAAGGTTTGCTGATTGTGTAGGGCTTGATTGCAGGCTCTTACAGAGGCACCAGGAGCCAAACTTCACAAGCTACTTCTGTGTATCTGATAAATAAAAAAAAAAAAAAAAAAAAATCACCTTCAACAAGGGAAATTCTGTTGTTTGCAAATACCTGCTTAGAGTTTGAATATAGATGCATGGCCAGGGAGTGTTTACTTAGGGAATGTGAAGAGTTCTTTATACAGGCTATAGCCATTTGTAAAATTTACTGGTTACTACAAGCAGGGGCTATTTTTGTGTGAACCATATCATTATGTTAGGAATAAAAGTGGAAATGAATAATAATGGCCAAAACAATGACTTGTGAGGCTCAATGGAGTATTCTTGTTTAATTTTGTTTCTATTAATTTTTTTCTCTCTCTCCAAGGCAGCATGACAGCACTAAACCACTCAGATTATAGTTTCTTTTTTTTTTCTTCTCCCTCTCCTTTCTCTGTTTTTTTCTCTTTCGTTTCTCCTCTGATCACGGCAGTCGGTTCTGGGGTTGGAGTGCAGATGGGCTGTCGAAGCACCCCCCTCCCCTTTCTCAGCCTAACTCCATCCCCACTGCTCCTTCCCACAAGACTTTCAGACGCTCTTACTCTCCCAGGTAACAAGCTACCTGTTAAACCAACTTGTCTGAGGTGTCACAGTATTATTTACCTTTCACACTGGGATTTGTTCAAATGTGGGAAATGATTTGCAGAGGCTTTGGTTGGAAAAGGAAGAGAGATGATGATAGCTTTCAGCGAGCGGAGGTGGCAGGCAGCTGCTTGCTCACTGCTTGGGGAAGGTGCGATGTGCAAGGCGGGGGGGGAGTGGATTTTTCCAGACTCTTCCTCCCTGCCAGGTTCCTGAATGGGTGTATGCTTCACAGTTGGTTTCCAATGCAGAACACAGTTGCTGAGCACTTTTGGCAGGCACTGGTTGTGTTACAATAGCACGGGCAAGGTCTTTCAACTTGGCTACGCTGTGCAAGCGGCACACAAGTACTTTCAAACAGGCAAATACAGCTCAGTAGTAATTTCACATCTGCACTAGTGAATATCCCTAGGACAATGAGGATGAAGCTTCCATATATGATTTTACCAGCTGCTTGCACAGTGTGATTGTGGAACGTCTTGGACGTTTGTAGTATTGAATTAAAATTCTCCTTACTACAAGATTTAGAGGTTATTGACCACTAATTTTGACATCACTTCCTCTTCCTGTGCCCTCACATTTTGTTCCAATCTGCATACAGATCTTTAATCAGTATACTGGACTAAAGTTGTATACTGGTTTTAATAAAAAAAACCCAAAACTTCTGAGTACAAATCTAATTTGTCAGACCTCTGTGAAATTCCTTGGATTTTCTTAAGTTTATACACTGACAACAGGCTTTCTATAGATGTAGTTTCTCCTGACTTAAATATGCGTATGACCTGAGGAAGGACTGTATATAGTCTTTCCTTGAAGTAACAAATTCCTAATGAAAAAAATATTGAAAGGAAAGCAAACAAATTGTTCTTTGAGGGCTCAAAATCTGGGAATCTGTGACGTCTGAGAGGGAAAACAGTATCCTGTAGTCCATACCTGTGTGAATACCTGCAGAATTTAAACTTTAAATCGATATTCTGGCTCTTCTAGGACACTAAGATGTGGAAGCCATCCATGTTGATTTTTGGAGGTAAACTAGTTGAGAATTTTTTTCCTTCTTTCAGTAGCTGACATGAAGGTTTGGAAGAATTGATATGTATTCCAGCCAAAAGCCTGAAAGTGCAAGGAAATGGGTTACTGTGTACTGCTTGAGGATGCTAAACTGTTGATTACTTACACATAGATTGGATTGGAAACTGAATAATAGTTTATGGAAATAAAATGTGTTTTATGTCAGACTGGAAAGCTGCCAAATTGTATCTTGATAACCTTGTAGAGAGCTGCATTGCTTTAGTGCAGCCAAAGATGGAAAATAATGTTGTGACATCCCTAAACACTGCTCATCTCTGCTCACTTCTTAGTCATCCTGTGACTTTCCTCTAGTTTTCTGCATGGGTCATAATTTTTTTTCCTTTTGTGCCTTTTTCTTTTCTGAAGGGTGGGTGTAGTTCCATTTTATTTTTCGTTCCCCCCATTGTGTTGTCTGTGAAGTATGCCAGTACACATACTGTCAATAGACGTGTGGGTTCACATGTAGAGTTTTCTTTCATGTAGAACACAGCCATGATGTGATCTTCTACACAGACTTACTCTTGACATATGAAATCACTGGTTTCTTTAGATTTTTGTTATAATGTGGTTTTGTACTTTGAAAAATGCATCAGATCAGTGACTGGTGAGAAATTGCCTTAGTCCTGTAGCATTGCAGTCTGTACTTTGATCTCTTCTTTGGTAGCAGCGTAGGGCAAAATTCATCCCCGAGGAAAGAAGCGATGATTTTAGCAGAGTGAGTGTCAGTATATCTGTGATTATTTCTCATTTTTTGCCATGCATTTCATTGTGTGACCTTTGGTAAATCATGTCATTTCTTGGTGTGGGTACATGGGTACAGTCATGTGTACACCTTCTCGAATGGTGGTTTCATTGCTTACTTAAATATTGTATGAGGAACCCCTTCAGACCTAAGAATTAAACGTGCTAGAGCTCAAAATAAATAATTTTGAGATCATATGAAACAAATGTTGTCCTATCCCTACCTGATACTTATAAAGAATCTGAAAACTGCCTTCACTTTTGTCCGGAAAGCCATCACAGTGCATTAGTGTCATTCAGCTGTTCCAAAAGCCCTGAACACTTTGACTTCTGTAGGTTTATAAACAACTCTTGTTTCCTGGTCTTGATTTGTTCTTTAAGTGGTTGCTCCTTCTTCCTTGCCTGACAGACACTGTTTAAAGTTGGGGAGTTGTTCTTTGGTTTCTTTGCCAGAATACACAGTGCTGATGCTCGTGTGATCGTAGAGTGAGCGCGTTGCTTGGGAGCCAGGGATTATGGCTATTTTCAGTGTGTTAATCCCGAAGGAATTGGGCAGCACCAAGCTTACCCTCTGTGTGAAGTTCCTTCTTCCAGGAAAATAAGTAGTGGTTCTAGATATTTAACATCCTACTTTTAGTTCTATTGAAAATAATAGCTGTGTGCCCAGGATTCAGAAGGGATTGTGTTTTTTATTTTTTTCCAGTCCACCTCACGGGAAATCTTTCTTTTGTGGAAACGGAACACAGCTCCTTGTTCAGCCGTCCTCCTCCAAACTCATCCTGTCATCATTCCCCCCCCCAAGTGTTAAAGAAGATTATTGCACCCCTGTAGGGAGCCACTTCTTGCCATTTGTTGACAAACAACTTAATGTAAATGTCTCAGATTCTTTTGGTTTATTTGCTTCTGGCTCTGCTAAAATCCAAGACTCCCCCAAAGAAATTGTTCTCAGTTACTGGGTCTCTTCATTAAGTCTCTCTTGGAAAACTGATTGTCATGCAAGCTCAACTTCTCCAAGATAGAGCAAAGCCCTGCCAATAGTGCCTTTTCATTTTCTCCAAGCTTGTAGGAGCTTCTCTTCTTAGCTATGTCTTTCATATCATCTGCCCTTGCATGCCAGGCATTTTTTTCATGGAACTTAATTTTTGATAACTATTCAGGGAATCCCAAAACTTGTGTGGCTTTATGCTGCTGGGGAATTTCTGAAGAACAGACAGACTGCAAGAATGCATCTGAGAGTGATAGAATTCCCAAACTTAGGCTCAGTACTGAAATGCATCTCTTATCAAGGCGTTGTGCAAGTGGTTTTGGTTTTACTATTCTGTAAATGAAAATGGAACATGTTAGATTAAGGTTTATGTCAAGATACATTTTCCTTTCCATTTAAATCTGTCACATTTGAATCCATTGGTAAAATATATTTGATATACTATGAAACTTAAATTTTGTTGATTTAATTTCCACCAGCTGTCACAACCCTTTGAGTTATCATAGTGATTAATTTTGTGTATTTTCCTTTTTAAATTACGCCATTACCATGCTGGGAATAGGGGTGGTTTTTTGGTTTACAGAAGCTAGCACACTCGCTGCTGTGGAATGTAACAAACAGCAGACCTGATTTCCCCTCACTTAGTGATGTGATGCCGCTGATTTCGGTGGAGCTTCTCCTAGATTTAGCCCTGTTTGAGGGGAGACTCAGACCCAAAGTCTGCTTTGATTCCATTCATGTTTTGTTACAAGTCACTCTTAGAACGGGTACGCCAAATCATCTGTCTCTGACTCTGCATTGTTTCTGTTAACAGTCAAAAGCAGATTCCAGTTTCATATGTAACATTTCATATACGTTTGGTCTTTAGTATGCTGGATTATGACACGGAGAACCTAAATTCTGATGAAATCTACAGCTCTCTTCGTGGAGTCACAGAAGCGATTGAAAAATTTAGTTTCCGTAGTCAAGAGGACCTGAATGAGCCCATCAAACGTGATGGAAAGAAAGACTGTGACATTGTAAGTATTTCATTGGTATCCCCAGATAGATGAAATTCTAAAACATTGTGTTCAAGCCTGGCTTTGGATTGTTAGTGTACAAAATCCATTTATTCCTTCTGTACTCTTGCAAGTGTCTTTGGCTTATTGGTTGTTAACTTCTAATGCCTGAATTATGGGGTCCCACCAGTGTAGTGCCTTGCTCCTGTTGAACTCTACCCTCCTGTGAAATGTGCTCACTGGGCTTCTGTGGAAGTGTCTTGTACGAAGCAAACAGTGCTAGTGTTCCTCATGGCTCAGCGACGGCTTTTTCATGCAGTGTGTGTAGTCTGATCTGTAATGGGAAATGTTAGTTCTCAAAATGCGTGGGTGATTTCCCGCGCAGGCTTGCTGCTTCATATATAGGAAGGACCTGTAATCACTCTGAGTGCACAACTCGTATAGTACCTTATGCTGCATGAATGGTTACAGAATTATCTACCATGTGAGATGCCATTTGTTTTAATTAAATACAAGGACTTCAGAATTTTTACTGGAATCTTAAATGATGTCCTTTCGGGTCACTTGCAACTTGAGATATTCTGTGATTCTGTGACAGCTTTGCTTCCTATCTGGACAAACAAGTTTACATTAGTAGATTAAGTTAGCCTTCAAAGCTACAAATTCTTGGTCTGAGATTTTTCTTTGGGACCCTTCCATTGTTCATTTCAGGCTAGCTTGCAAAGCATCATCCAGTCTCCTTTGTCAGTGAGTTGTGAAGTTTCGTGAGGAGGATGTTGGTTTTGCTTCCTTTCCCTTTCTTAGCAAATTGGTCCTGTTCCAGAGCTTATGATCTTTGCCAGCTTGTGCAGTTTTAGCAACGTTAACCTAGATTTAGGAATGTTAGCGTAGCTTTTTGCTCTATGATCATGAGGTATCTTTGGAACAGTTGTAGTTATAAGG